GCAGTTTGGATTGGCCTGGTAACCACTACTCTCTCTTCAAGCAATAGGACCCATCCCTTTTGGGGGCTTATTCCCCCCCCACCCCCACACACACAGGTCATGCGGCCTAGGTAGGGCTGACCCCGCCTTCTCAGGATTCACCGGCATTGACTCAAACCTGGCCTGTGGATGTGTTGTTTTTTTTTTTTTTCTTTTTGTAGAGACAGAGTCTCACTTTATTACCCTCAGTAGAGTTACAAGGCATCACAGCTCACAGCAACCTCCAACTCTTGGGCTTAGGCGATTCTCTTGCTTCAGCCTCCCAAGTAGCTCAGACTACAGGTACCTACCACAACGCCCGGCTATTTTTTTTGTTGCAGTTTGGCTGGGGGCCGGTTTAAACCCACCACCCTTGGTATATGGGGCTGGTGCCCTACTCACTGAGCCACAGGCACTGCCCTGTGGATGTGTTTTTATCTCTCTGGGCAGGACAGCTACAAGTCTGGAAAGGCTGGCATCCATTTTGCCTGTCCCAGCATGGAACAGGGAGAAAGACCCCTGGAGTTGGGCTTGATATTCCAGGCCAGACCTTTTCAGTGGTGTGAGCCAAATATTCTCTGTACTCTTCAGGCACCTAGACCTGGGCTTTGCCTGACCCCTACACCCTCCCCACATGTCCTTCCCTCTCCCGCTACCTGCTCCCCCACCCCCAACTGCCTCTGCTTTCTCCCTTTGCACTTGCCATCCCACTGCCTGGAAGCCCGTTCTGGGAAAACGCCTCCTCATCTCCCCCTACTTCAGATCCCGCCTCCTCCCCAAAGCCTTCCTGATTCCCTCAGACACAGGCTCACACTTCTTTTCCCACATTTGCATCATATCCAGTAGCTTCCTCCCGGAAACCTTTATTCACTAGGTCCTCCTAGCCTAAACAGATTTTGTCAAGCTTTATTTTTCATGGACCTATTACGAAAATAGGGATTTTTTTTTCCTACGCTCTAATACAAAATGATGTTTTAACTGTTAACGTAAGTTTTCAATCAATGCCTATGCCTACCCCAGACATTCTGAAATACTCCCCTGGAGAGATGTCTTCCCTTCCTTTGATTGAAAAACTGCAGCAAAACATCCCTCATTGATCCAGTAAACATCCACATGGCCCCCTCGGTGGAAGGCACTGCGCCGAGCAATGGACAGACAAATTATGAAACTGTATTATAATCGCCCCTTCATCTGTACAAGCCAGGAAATTGCAGGGAAGGATCCTTCCAAACTGTTTAACTGGCATTACTTCAGAAGCTGACATCAGAGGGATAGAAGGGGGACTTTTCCTTAGTACTTTATACAATTTTAAAGTGATAGAGTTTCTGAAGGCTTTTGACTTTCTATCCCAGGCTTCTTAGTATTTTTCAAGTGAAACATTTCTTAGTGGTTCATAGATGTGCCTGTTCTACTACAAGACAGGGAGCCCCTGAGGGGTGGGGCTGGGCAGTGCTGTGATTCACTCTTAAGTCTTTGGCTTTCCTGCCAGGGCCTGAAGTGCAGAAGGCTGGGAAATGTCTGTGAAATGACCACCCCAGCCGAGCTGAGAAGCACAAGAAGCTGCAGGGGAGCTGTTCAAGCCCAGGGGCCAGGAAGGGCCGCAGCTGACAGCTGGGGCAGGAGGAGCTGGTTCCCACTGCAGCCCGGGCCCTGCATGGGGCCTGACACAGAGGAGGTGCTATTGGGGAAATGATATCACAGGGCAACTCAGCCTGGAATAAGGAATTCCCAGAAAACGAACTTGGCTGGGCTTTGCACTTGCTGAGGACAGACCGGGAAAGATGAAGAGCTGAGGGAAGCTGGGAAGGAAGGAGCAAGAGGAAAGGACTTTGCAGGGAGGGGATTAAGGAGACCTTGACAATCAAGGTCTGGGCTGGACAGCAGGTAACAGAGGGTCAGCCTGCTGCTGCTAGGGTCCCTGGCGAGCTGGGAAAGGTGGTTCTAAGTGTGTAGTAACAGGAGTGTTTGCTGCCCAGTTGGGTACCGGCCTGGCTGGGCCTGCACTAGGCTGCCCTGTCCCTCCTGCCTCCCTCTAGTCTCTCTGTTCCTTGAATTGGTATTTCCTTGGGTATATCCAGGCACAGCTTGAGAGAAGGAAATCATCACAACTTCTTAGAGGTATGGACTCTCCAGCTGGGCCTTAACAGATGAAGAGGAGTTGTCCAGGTAAAAGAAGGGAGCAGACCTTGAAGTGCAAAGGAAAATGAGAGCAGGAGCAGTGAGATGAGAAAGAGCCACACCTCTGTGAGGTGCCTCAACCCTTGGCCTTGCTCCCTAAAGGGCCTGCATGCTACACCTACCGAGGGCATCTCTGGTAACCAGAGTTGGGGGTGGGAAGAGCTGGAAACCACATTCCATGAAGGATGGCTGAAGGCAGCAGCCACAGATCATGTGATTAGAGTCCTGGGCTCACAGGATAGCTCTGCCAATCCTGCTCATGGCATGACCTGGGGGCAGGTCAGTCTGCCGCTCCAAGCATCAGCTTGGAGGACTTGTGGTTTCAAAGAGTTCACCATTGGCATAGTGCCCAGAACAAAAGCAGCACCCAACAGACTATAGTTACGGCTACTGTGGAGAGCCAGGTGTTGGGAGGCTGCTTCTGGAAGGACCATCATGGACCAGTGGGCCCAGATTACTCTGTCTCCGTGGTGTCAGGCCTGCTGGTAGGAAGTTCTAAGGAGGTAGGAGTCAGCTCAGGGTTAAGGAAAATCCTAAATGGGAGCATTGCTCAGTAATGAAATGGGCCCATCTGGTGGGTTGGACTCTGTCGAGAGAACAGCCCTGTAGAGGCTAGGTAGACCACATCTGCCACCAGGTGTTCTGTGGAAGAGAGTGGACACAGAGAAAAGCCATCTGTGAAGCAGCCATTGCAGGAAACTCTAGGCTAAGGGAAGTTAAATGGGTTTCTTTGCTGTAGGACTTCTCAGGAGCTTCACCACCTTAGAAGATCACACTGCCACAGATTCAAATGCTTATTGAAACCAGACGAACAGCCCAGCATAGTGACTCATGCTTGTAACCCTAGCATTCCAGGAGGCCAAGGCAGGTGGATCACCTGAGCTCAGGCATTCAAGACCAGCCTGAGCAAAAGTGAGACCCTGTCTGTACTAAAAATAAAAAAACTAGACAGGTGTTGTAGTGGGCACCTGTAGTCCCATCTACTCAAGAGGCTGAGGTAAGAAGATTGCTGAAGCTCAAGAGTTTGAGGTTGCTGTGAGCTATGACCACATGGCACTCTACCCAGGGCGACAGAGTGAAAAAAAATTAAATTTAAAAAACCCCACACAAGCTGGCTGGGAGCCTGTGGCTCAAGCAGCTAAGGCGCCAGCCACATACACCTAAGGTGGTGGGTTCGAATCCAGCCCGGACAAGCAGCACAAATGGGTGATGTGAGCATGTGCGGATGGGAGTGGGCTGGAGAGAGCGGCCTCTCTAAAGGGGAAGGCTCCTTAGCGCCTCCTCTGCACTCTCTGGGTATCCTTGTAGGAAATCTACCAGCCACTGAATATGGGTTGGATTGTGTCCCCCAAGACATCTGGAAGTCCTAACCCCTAGTACCTGTAAACATGAACTTATCCAGAAATAGATCTTTGTAGATGTAATCAAGTTAAAATGGGGTCATTATGGTGGGCCCTAATCCAATGGCTGTATCCCTCCAAGAAAGGAAAATCTGAATACACAGACAGACACATACACAGAAGATGGCCATGTGATGACAGAGGCAGAGATCCGAGTGACTCATTGACAAACCATGGAACGCCAAGGATCGCCAGCACCACCAGAACCTGGAGGCAGCCCAGGCGGACTCTCTTCTCCTGTCTTCAGAGAAAGAGTGCAGCCCTGTAACACCTGGATTTTGGAACTGTGGTCTGAGACATTCCTGTTATTTTAAGACACTCTGTTTGTGATACTTTGTCATGGCAGCCCTGGGAAACTAAGACAGACACTCATTTACAGTGAACTGTACATGAGACAACTCCAGAGCAGAGAGAGAGGGTGTAGCACTTCCTAATTCATGCATCACGGACCCTCTTTCTATTTTTTTTTAAATGAATACACATCTAACCCAAATGTACACCTTTTCTGAAAGGACCATCTTCTTGGATGAGCCAGGGAGTATGACATGGGGCACTAATTCTGATTCTCAACCCTTTTTTTGTACCCACACAGTTACTGTTCACAGGGGTGACCTGTGCTTTCCTCACCTATAAGTTGAGGAAAATGACGTCAACCTCCTAGGAGGCCCTGAAAACCTTCATGAGATGTATGGAAAGCCTTCCTCCACGCTCCATCAGGTGGAGGGTTAGCATGTGGGGCACTGCCCAATTCTGTCCCCTCTGTAAGATGGTATGGCAACATCTCCTAAGGCTTCCAGGGTGGCTGGAACAATAGCAGTCCCTCAGGGACACCCACTGCTTTTGCATGTCCTATGCTGGAGGGAATGTGATCCCAGTGGCCATCCTTACCTGTGCTGTGAGCTGGATGGGTTGGGACAAGGTGAGCTGTGGGGTCCCAGGGGGCTGGCTGGCAGGCTGTGGTGGCAGGTCACCTCCCCCAGAGGAGGCTGGGGGCTGCGAGGTCGAGGAGGAGGCAGAGGAAGAGGAGGAAGAGGAGGCGGAGGAGGAGGCGGCGGCGGCAGCAGCGGCGGCGTTGGACTGCTGCACGGCGGCGGCCAAGAGCTGGGCCTGCGCTTGCTGCAGGAGGAGCTGCTGCTGAGCCGGCATCAGCGCCGTGAGCTGTGGGGCGGTGGGTGGAGGGCAGCAGAGGCCAGAGCAGGGAGTTGGGGAGGAGCAGAGAAGGCAGAGAGGTATTAGTGCCTGAGCCAAGCAGGAGAAGAGACAAGTCTTCCTGGAGGGCAGGAGGGCAAGAGGCAGGTGTGAGAGAGTGGCCATGGCCTTGGAGGGATACCTCATCCACTAGCCTGCAACAGACGGGAGGCGGCTGGTTTGCACCCCCCATCCCCGGCCTTCCCATGTACTTACCCCAGCGAGCTGGCTGCCTGTCAACATGAGTTGGGCCTGGGGCAGATGAGGCTGAGCCGGCTGAGGGGGTGGGGGTGCTGCAGGGGCTGAGTCACCACTGGGGTCTTCAGCCTTGATCTGGGGAGGAGAGAGGCAGGGTCCGGGACCCCAGAATGTTAAGTGGAGGCCAGAGAGAATGCCCACCTGCAAACCAAAGAGAGGGCATGTGTGTGGCGATGGCAGCCTCAGGCTGGCACAGGAGGAGCAAACTGGGTTACAGAGGTGAGGCTGAGGCTCGAGGCTCTGCACTGACCAGCTGGAAACCTCAGATCACTCCTCTGTCCCCAGCTTCCTAATCAATCAGACAGGGCTGACGTACTATCTGCTTCCAAACTCTCTACAGCTTAGGTCACCTTTGCAAAGTGCTTTTTCCCTTCTGGGAGTCAGTTTCCCCAACTGCAAAATGGAAAATAATAGCCACTAGGCACCTGGGAGATCAAATAAGGGGGTTTTCGGCCTTATACTCTCATCTGTGTCAGCAAGATGGAGTCTTACTCCATTTGTCAATGGGTTGGGACAAGGTGAGCTGTGGGGTCCTGGGGAGCTGGCTGACAGGCTGTGATTGGAAGAAAAGGTCTTAAGGTATTAAAATCACCACCTTGGAACCCAGGCCATAAACTCAAATGCTTATAAAAACAGGCAGATAGCACAAAAGGGTGATAGGGACAGGGTAGATGGAGATGGGATATCTTACTAGTCTCTCATTTCAAAGTCTATTTTTATTTTTTTTATTTTGAGGGGGATAGAGTCTCACTCTCTCACCTTGGGTAGAGTGCCATGGGGTTGTAGCTCATAGCAACCTCAAACTCTTGGGCTCACACAATCCTCCTGCCTCAGCCTCCCAAGTAGCTGGGCCTAAAGGCACCTGCCACTATGCCTGGCTAGTTTTTCTATTTTTAGTAGTGACGGGGGTCTCACTCTTGCTCAGTCTGGTCTCCAACTCCTGAGCTCTAGCAATCCACCCACGTCAGCCTCCCAGAGTGCTAGGATTAGAAGTGTGAGCCACTACACCTGGCCCTCATTTCAAAGTCTAAAACAAAAACCCTGACAGGACAAGCAAAGCATAGCATGTGTCCTGTGCTATGTCCAGGCCAGATGTGGCCCAGGTGCTACAAGGTTTCAGCCTCTGCCCCAGAGGTCTGCCGAGCCCCTCTGCATCTCTCTGAGGATGGTGTGGACTCAGATTGCATCATATCCATAGAATAGACTGGCACAGAGCCATCCTGGCCTCCTTCCTCTCCTAGATGAAAAGCCAGATACCAAGCTAGGTGTTTCGGCACAGCTGTAGCCCAGCTACTCAGGAGGCTGAGGCAGTAGGATAACTTGAGCCCAGGAGTTCAGAGTTGCAATGAAGCAAGGCTTAATGGATCACAAAGTCTCTGCCTGCCTCAGGGCAGACATTGGGATCATCCGCTGGCATAAAATCCCAACACCATTTTGGAAAAGAAGGTCCAGAGAGGGAAAGCAATTTTGCAAGGTGACACAGCAGGTTGGCAAAGGGGTAGCATTTGGAATGCAGACAGAGAACAGAGGCCAGGGACAGGCCAAATAACAGATAGTGAGTAGCATGTACCAAATTATGGGACAAAAATCTCAGAAAGATTAAGAGCTACAGGGATGCAGTGTGAAATGACACTGTGTCTTACAAGCCAAGGCAATGGCTATCCCTGGCAGGGGAAGTAAGGACCTCTGGAAGGCTAGTGGTGCTCTGCTTCTTAATCTGGTGCTGGTGACATAGGTGTGCTCAGTTTGTGAAAATTCACAGCATCATACACTGAGGGTCTGTGTTTTGATGTGTGTCATATTTGAATATAAAGTTTTTAAAAAACAACAATGAATGGCTGGGCAAGATCACTATTCCTTTTTTGGTGCTTTTGCATTTTTTCTAGTTAGTTATCTTAAGAAAGTTCTGGTTTGGTGCTAGGATGTCTTTAACATCTGTCCAATATTGGCTAATTTCTTCTTTTAATAAACGGAGAACAGGCCTCAGGTCTAGTCTCTTCAGCACATAAGAGACTCTGGGCAAATTTTAATAATCATTGTATTTATTTCCATGGCAAGTGATTCTGGTTTTCCATTCATGAAATTTCCATTTAAAAAACATTTATTGAAGCTGTTGAAAAAGCGAGCCAGTTCAGGAGTGGGTAATTGTTGAAGCTGATTGATGGGTACCTGGGGGTTTATTTTCATTATATCTTTCTCTATTTTTGTATCTGTTTCACATTTTCCATAATAAAGTGTTTTTTTAAATTGAGCCGATTAGCGAAATCATTATGTAAATAATCACACACAGTGGTGTGAGGATGCATCTGAGACCTCAGTGGGAGCCCATGAATCACGGCAGTTAGGGTTAGGGAAAGACCGACAGAGAGAGGCTGAGAGGGAAAGGCCGAGAAACAGGCGAGGTGTACAAGGAGCCCAAGTCTGGGAAGGGGAGAAAGAAACCTTCATTCCCTTGGCCCCACTGGCTTCCCCAAGAGAATCTTTCCAGTTTCTCCTGCAGGGGCGAGGAAACCTGGAAAGATCCGATTCAGCTGATGCAGGACCTAGGGATGCGTGCTCCACTCAGGGCTGAGGCCAGGACCAAGCCTGTGGTCAGAGGGTCGAGGAGGTCAAGACCCAAGCCCTTCTTCCCAAGGCCCTGGTCAAAGCTCTTAGGACAGAAGAGTTTTAGACACCTGCTCACAAAGCACTTGGTCACAAAGCACTTAGCATCGGTGCACACCAGATTTCCAGACCTCCGAGGCCCTCCAACCTGACTGCCCCCTCCCCCCCAACTAATGTTAGAGAAGAGGAAACTAAGAAGCCCAGAGAGGGGAAGTGACTTTCTCATGGTCACAGAGCAAGGTTGCTCCAGGGTGGGGAGTAGTTCTTGGCCTCTCACCCCACTCCTCAGCCACCACCGGTCAGAGTCAGGGTCAGGGTCTAGCTCTTGCCTTCTCTGCCCCTATCATCAGTGCTGCCCTTCAAGCCTCTGGGCCTGTCTGCTGCCCCAATCAGGCTGGAGGGTGTGGACCTGAGCCCAAGAAACCCCCGGAAGCCCAGAAGTGCCTAGCAGGGGACCCATCTGGATCTGGAATTTGTATGCCTGACAGCTTCTGGCCTCTCCATCATCCTCTGCTCCCGCATCCCCACGGCTGCCCTCACAGGGTCTGCCAATCACCCTCACCTAGGCTGGCCCCTACATGTGTGTGTGTTGGGGGACAGGGGGTGGTGCAGGCCCCTGCTGGGTCAGGGAAGTCGGGATGGGGGTGGGGCCCTTGGCTTCCTGTTGTTCATCACCCTGGGGCTGTGGGGGGGATTTCCCTGGCCACCCCCACCCCCTAGGGAAGGGGAAGGAGCCTGAGTGAGTCACAGGCTTGAGGCGGGAGCTGAAGGGTGAGAAGGGGCAGGAGGAGCCTTGTCACCAAGGTACCAGGGCTTGGTGCTCTCTCAGGCCTGCCAAGGACCCTCTCCCTAGTACCACCCCTTTCCCTGGCTGTTTCAACAGGTGCCTACCTTGGTGCTGGGGGCAGTTGGGGACACGGAGAACGGAGAGGTCTTACTCTGGGGGTTCTGAAAAGAAAAAGTAGGTGCAGGGGATTGAGAATAGTGCAATGGAACAGCTTCTGACCCACCAGCCCTCCCAGCACTGACCCCGTCCACTCCCTCCTCCCTCTCCTGCCCCCTATGTGACTGCTCCCTCCTGACCTGATGATTAGTGTCTGGTCCATTTCTTTCAGTGTCTGCAAAGAGAAGGAAAGGATTTGTTGTCATCAGCCACCTCCACCACACCTGTCCCCTCCCTGCTGCCTTCCCACCTGCCCCTCTGCCCCTGCCCACAGTAACCCCTGCCCCTGTTCCCCTCCCACCCACCTGTGTGCTCTGACGGGGAGTCCAGACCTTGCTTCTCGGCCTCCAGGGGCTTAGACATTCTTATTTCTGGGGACAGAAAGGGATGGAAATGGAGTGAGAGAGGGAAAGCCAGGAGAGCTATTGGGCCCCTCTGCCACACCCCAGCCTTTCCCCAAATTCTCCATCCCCCGCCACTTGGAAGTGTCGCCTGAGAGACTAGAGAGAAAGAGAGAGAGACCTGTCCTCTGATCTGAGCCTCTGGCAGGACAAGAGGGGACCCTCAGGCCCTGAGGGATCTTGCATTATCCTTTCACCCCTCCAGAAAGTGGCACAGTGGGTGTCACCCACCAGGAGGCCCCGAGGCAGGGCAGGAGGTAGAAGGTGGTCACAAGAAAGTGTCAGCTGCCCAGGAGGAGGCTGGTGATGTTCCAGAGGAGCGAGTGCGACCTTGAGCCTCCTCCACAGGCGTCCTGCCCCACAGGTTTCGGGTGAGACATGTTTTCCACTCTGAGTGGGGCCTGGGACATGTGATGGGGCAGCAGCATCCTCAAAGGAGGGGGCTGTCAGATCTCCGGTGTGATTCAGCCATCCTCCGGCCCTCTCCCCAGCCCACCACTTTCTCATCCACAGCTCACTCTCACCTGGCCTTCCCGCTCGTACGGGCACAGGCCAAGCAGCCCCACCTGGATCCTCTCTGACCCCAACCACAGCCGACCCTGTCCCTGATCTTGTCCTCCAGTCAAACCCTAGATCTCACCCCAGACTTCAGCCTTGAACCCCAGCCACACTGTCACATCTGCGTCTGCAGTACAGCCGCTTTCTATCGTCCTCTAGACACAGAAAATGAAAGGAGGTAGCCAAGGAAAGGTGGCAAGCAGCAAGCTGGTAAGGGCACATAAACCAGGGGACAAACGCCTGTCCTCAAAACACTCTGACACTGATCATGGAGAGGCGAGTGCTCGCCAATACCACACACAGAGCTAGGTTGTGACTCAGAGCTCACATTAGCGGTTGGTACTAATATTACCCCATTTTACAGAGGAGGAAACTGAGGCTCTGAGAAGGGACATCACCTTCCCAAGACCACAGTAAGACAGCAAAGGTGCCCTAAATCATCTTTGTGACTCCAGGGCTCAGCACCACTTCAGTCCTATGGCCCCCAGTCCTGACTCCTACCTATTTCATCTCCAAAAGTGCCCCAATCCAAGCTCATCCTGATACCAACTTCAATCCTTCCTGATCTTAAACCCCAGCACAAATGTGGGCTTCACCTGACCTGTTCTTAGTTCCCCTTACTCATCCTGAATCCCAGTTTGCACCCAGATGGTCCAAGGCCTTCATCTGACCTTGATTCCCAATTTTCCTGAGACCTTATTCATAACTCTGCCTCTGATCCTAAACTCTCCTCCACAACTCACTCTGAAATCCCACCTAAACCATGACTCCAACCCTACCAGAGGGAGCTTTCCAACTCCAGAAGATATTTAAAGGCTGGGCAGCGCCTGTGGCTCAAAGGAGTAAGGTGCCAACCCCATATGCCGGAGGTGGCGGGTTCAAACCCAACCCCGGCCACAAACTGCCAAAAAAAAAAGGCCAGCTAAAGTGAGGGATGGGAAGAGTTCAGCAACTTCAAGAATTTTGCAATTGGGGGACTACTTGACATGAATCATTGCCTGTGTCTGAAATTTAAAAGTCAGGTCATGGCTTGGCACCCATAGCACAGCAGTTATGGTGCCAGCCACTTACACCGAAGTTGGTAGGTTTGAATCTGGTTCAGGCCAACAATGACAACTGCAACAAAAAATAGCTGGACGTTGTGGTGAGTTTCTGTAGTCCCAGCTACTTGGGAGGCAGAGGCAAGAGAATCGTTTAAGCCCAAGAGTTTGAAGTTGCTGTGAGCTGTGATGCCACAGTACTCTACCGAGGGTGACACAGTGAGACTCTGTCTCAAAAAAAAATAAAATAAAATAAAAATGAAAAGTCAGGTCATGTGTTACTGGTCATGTGATACAGCATAATTCAGCAAACTGCAGAGATGCCCCCTGCCTACAACATAGCACGTCCACTCCTAGGCATCCACCCAAGACATACAGCACACTGCCCACCAAAGGGCATGGGCATAAACTTTCCAAAGCTTTTCACAATAGCCCCAAACTGGAGACAACCCAAGGGCCCATCAGCAGGTGAAAGGATAAACAAAGCATGGTATGTCCATATAACTAACGAAAAAGAATAAAGTCCTGCTTCATCTGCATTGCTGAATCTGAGCCTGAGTGAAAGAAGCCAAACACAAAGGCAGAAACAGTGATGACTCCAATTGCAAAAAGTTCAAAACAGACAGACTGACATCAGATGATCAAGGCCAGATTAGGGAGTACCTTTAGGGGGTGGTGCCTGGGAAGGTTGGAAGGGCTGAATGGCCAGAAAGGATCTGTCAGGTAGTTACAGAGGCCTATACATATGCAAAAATCCAGGGCTGGGGGCTCCCACCTGTGATCCCAGCCCTTTGGGAGGCAGAGGCTGGTGGATCATCCCCTTGAGCAAGAGCAAGAGCAAGACCCTGTCTTTAAAAATGAAAAATTATGGCTTGGCGCCTGTGCTCAGTGGTTAGGGTGTCGGCTACTGCACCAGGGCTGGTGGGTTCGAACCCAACCCGGGCCTGCTAAACAACGAGGACAACAACAGCAAAAAAAAAAGTGGCCAGGCTTTGTGATGGGTGCCTGTAGTTCCAGCTACTTGGGAGGCTGAGGCAAGAGAATCACTTAAGCCTAAGAGTTAGAGGTTGCTATGAACTGTGACACCACAGCACTCTACCAAGGGTGACATAGTAAGACTTTGTCTCAAAAATAAATAAAGAAATAAATAAAAATAGAAAAACTAGCTGGCATTGTGGTTGGCACCTATAGCCCCAGCTTCTCGGGAGACTAAGGTAAGAGGATTGCTTGAGCCCAGAAGTTTGAGGTTGCTGTGAGCCATGAGGTGACGGCACTCTACTCCGGGCAACAGAATCTCAGAGTTTAAAAAGAAAAGGAAAAAAAAAAAGATCAGGGTGGCACCTGTGGCTCAAAGGAGTGGGGTGCCTGTCCCATATACTAGAGGTGGCGGGTTCAAACCCGGCCCCAGCCAAAAAAAAAAAAAAAAAAAAGATCAGCCTATCCATAGGAAAAAAAAGATCTATACTTAAAATTTGAGCACTTTACTATAAATACATTATGTTTTAACCAAAAGAAAAATATTTAAAAGCTATTTTTAAAAAAGCCATCTTGTATTATTAAAGCACAGGCTTCTGAGGGTGGAAGGTGCGAGTAGGTGCCCAGTATGCTACTAGTGCTCAGGTCCTATTTCCAGGCACTGGGGATGGGGCACTAAATGGTTATGATCATAACAGATACAGAAAGACAGAAAGGGAGCTGGTGCTGTGGCTGGCTCGGGGTCAGTAAAGGCAGGAATCCTGCCTGATCCTAGCTCTAACTTAACCTCTAACTTAATCCTACTCCAGGCCACCACTATCCCACCCCAGCTCTAATCTCCTCGCTCCTAGTGTCCCTAAAACTATAGCCCCAGCCTCCCCCAGGGTCCCCCCTTCCACTGGGCTCCACACTGCCCCAGGGCAATTCTTCCGACACCCAGCTCTCCCTGGCTCTACACCCTTCCATGGCTCCCCATCTCCTCAAGAAACATCCAGGCCTGGGCTTCTGGGTGTGGTCCGTCACCCTCCACTTCTTCTCTCTTGCCATTCACGCACCCTGCCCTTCAACCCTGTCCTGTCAAGCATTTCCCTCTGCTTACAGCAGTGGTTCTCAACCTGTGGGTCGCGACCCACAAGAACTGTATTAAAAGGCCGCGGGATTAGGAAGGTTGAGAACCACTGGCTTAAAGGTTCTGCTTGGTGGGGAGTCCAGGGCTTGTAGGCTTTAACTCTCTGCCTAGGTGGTGACACCTCTGCTGCCCATACATCAGGGTAGCCTCTGTCCTCACCTCCACCCCAGAAAGGTCACACTCATTCATGGTCTCTGCTATGGGCTGATTTTTGCTCCCCCACCAAATCATATGTTGAAGTCCTAAGCCCTGATATCTCAGAATATAACCATCTGGAGATAGGGTCTTCAAAAAGTAGTTAAGGTAAAATTAGGTTGTTAGGGTGGGCCCTAATCCAATCTAACTGGCATCCTTATAGGAAATGGGAATTAGGATACAGACAGGAATGGGGGAAGGCCGTAAGTAGACACAGAAGACAGCCATCTACGAGCTAAGGACAGAGGCTTCTGAAAAAACCACTTTTGCTGACACCTTGGTCTCTGATTTCAAGGCTCCAGAATTGCTAGGAAACAAATTCCTGTCGTTTCAGCCATCCAGTTTGTGGTACTTTATTATGGCAGCCTTAGGAGACAAATTCAACCTCCCATGGTCCCTACCACCCTGCTGTTCCATCCCCCAGGGCTGTGGCCATCTGCAATGTCCAGGTTCCTTCCCCACCAGACCAGGGGACGGTCCTAGTTTGACTCATTGCTGGGTCCCTAGCATCACCCTCCCAGAATAGGTTATAACTGTTTTCTGGACGTCCCTCCCGCAGGCCCCTCTCTATCTCTCACTAGTTCCTGCCCCATCCTGCTGCCTCCCTGCCATTTAATAAACATTGCCATTTTACAAGAATTTGGTGTGGGCTAGTCCCTCTGCCTGGAATATTGCTCCCCAACTGTCCACCAGGCAACCACCTACTCCTCATTTGAGACCTATTACAGGCTTCATCTGCTATGAAGCCACCACTCCAATGCCCCAGCTCTCTCCCCGTGCCCCAGAACCTCCCCTGTCACTGTCCTAGGGGCTGACTGCAGCCAGCTGGGCCCCTGTATGTGTTTGCTATTAAAGTAGGAACTCCTCAAGAGCAGGTCTGACAGTAGGACCTCAACAGTGCCCAGCGGAGGACATGAGGGTCAGTGGGCAGTAGTGGCCCCAAGGCTCTGACCTCCCTTTCCTAAGTCTCTGCCTTTGCTCCTCTCCCACTTCCTTCAACACTGAGGAAGTCCTCCCTGGCTCCCCTGGTTGGTCAGTGTCTCTCTTATCTGAGGTCCCCTATCCCTGTACCACCCTCCATCAACTCTGACCACCCTGGGTTGCCCTGTCTCCACCTCCTGACTGTGGGCTCCTCAAGGGCCCAGGCTGGAGTCATCACTGCACAGGCCTCAGGCAATATCTTTAGAATGAATGAATGCGGGAGAGAATCCCCCTACTGACCAGGGCTCAATCCTGTCTAACAGCCCCCGTCTCTGCTGCCACCCAGCATCTCAAGCCTAACCCCCATCCCCAAGCAAACCCAATTTAAACCCTTTCAGTAAGGCCAGGCACAGTGGCTCTTACCTTTCATTCTAGCACTCAGGCAGGCTGAGGTGGGTGGATTTCTTGAGTTCAGGAGTTCAAGACCAGCTTGAGCAAGAGTAAGACCCTACATCTAAAAGATAGCTGGGCGTTGTAGCAAGTGCCTATAGTCTCAATTACTTGGGAGGCTGAGGCAAGAGGATCACTTGAGCCCAACAGTTTGAGGTTGCTGCGAGCTATGACACCATTGCATTCTACCAAGGGTGACAAAATGAGGTACTGTCTCGAAAGAATAAAAAATAATAGGGGTGGCGCCTGTGGCTCAAAGGAGTAGGGCGCTGGCCCCATACACTGGAGGTGGCAGGTTCAAATCTAGCCCCGGCCCAAAACTGCATAAATAAATAAATAAATGAATGAATAATAAAAAATAAATCTTTTAAATAAGGTTCCCTCTGCAGGAATAGCAGCTAGACAGACAGAAGCAATTTGAGGGAAAATTTCCACTATTCAGTTACCTTTATTCTCCCTGATTCTCCCAACCACTCCCATACTAGCCTGTGCACTCCCCACCTCGTGCTTGCTTGGGCCACAGTGAATGGTCAAGGGCTGCTCTTGGCCCAGGTCCCCACTGCTCTTTCCTCCTCCTCGCCATCAGAGCTCCATCTGAGAAAAGAATCAAATCATTCCCACCAAGGATGAATAGGGTTCCATTTTCACCACAAACCAAAAGCCAAACAATGCCTTTTTTTTTTTTTTGAGACAAGAGCCTTGCCCTGTCACCCAGGCTAGAGTACCATGGCATCAGCCTAGCTCACAGCAACCTCAAACTCTGGGGCTCAAGTGATCCTCCTGCCTCACCCTGCTGAGTATCTGAGACTACAGGTGTTCCCCACAAAGCCTGGTTAGTTTTCCTACTTTTAGTAGAGAAAGGGTCACGCTTTTGCTCAGGCTGGACTCAAACTCCTGAGCTCAAGCAATCCCCCTGCCTTGGCCTCCCAGAATTACAGGTGTGAGCCACTGAACCCAGCTACCAAATGACACCCCTCTCAACAGGGACTCTAGGGCACTGGCAACCATGGGCTTGGAAGATCTGTCAAAAGGCTCTGCCTCAGCCTCAGTCCAGGCAGGGATGCCCAATGCCCACCTCTTTACAGAAATAATGGTGCCTATTCCACCGACAGGCCCTCTGATTTCAATGGTAAGGGTGGGACCTGGCCATCCAGTTTTAAAAGGCCCTGCAGGTGATTCTAATGTGCTCCAGCCCCTGCCCCCTTTTGAAGCCCCTCTCAAAGCCCCATTTGCACAGAAAAGTTGGTTGGTTGTTGACGGTCATTCCCACCCGCAATCCCAGGCAGTGTACAACTTTTCAGAGAAACTGGTAGAGAAAAGCAACACAAAACCAGACCAGGCTTCTTTGGAGCTGTGTGGCCCCTTGAATACCACCATCCTCAGGACAGACCCACCCAGGGCTGCCCAGGCCCTAAGGTCACACTCACTTGCCCAACTGCCCTAGGTCTGGGCTCTGGGTCCCCTCTGCCTTCCCCTCCCCACCCTCCCCGGACTTTCACTTCTCCTCTGCATTTCCCCCAGCCAGTTTTAGCAGACTTAGGCCAGCTTCTCGTTAGCACTTACCGAAAATGGGGCTAAATATAGAGGGCCCAAGGACTGCCCCTCACCCCTCTGGCCCCACTTGGCCTGTCCCCTGGGTCCCCTGACTCCACAACCTGCCTCAATCAAGGCTATGGCCCGGGAGCCCCTGTGGGCAGGTCGGTGCTGCCAGGAACCTCTGTGGGCCCAGCTGGCCCAGTCCCGGCCGCCCCAGGAGCAGCACCTCACACCCACCCAGCCCCACAGCTGTCCCTGGGTGGCCTCAAGGGAGCAAACACTTCTGAGCTGTCAGGAGGGAGGGATGGACGGAGATACGGGCAGCAGACACAACAAGAACAGTGGCCCCACAGCTGTTCTGACAAGAGCTACCACCCAGCACCCACACCACAGCCACATCCAGGCAGGGGCCCAGGCAACACACACAAGATGCAGGGATGCAGATTCCAGACAGAGATATACACAGGTTTGCAGATAAAGACACCCAGACATGGTGCCACAGGTATATACGGTGGATATGCAAAACATACACCTGGACGTGTGTACACACACATGCACTTACATACACTCTCACACAGCCGCCGGAATTACACACCCAGAGTGACACACAGACACCCTAAGAGTCACTCAACAGGCCCATGCACATGCACTTACATCACACCAAGTCATGCCGAACCAGCCAGATGGACACACCCAGACACGCATACATTCACACACCCAGAGTCTCACACACACACACTCTCATACCCAGAGAGGCCCAATACCACACACAGATACATGCAGCCGTGTGCACACTCACACCCAGAGTCCCACACAGATACCCACAGATGTGCACACACTCACATACCCAGAGTCACACACAAACACACACACACAGATACATACAGATGTAAACACACACCCAGAGTCACCTCATCTTCCACCCCTGAACCCTGGTGTGGAGCCCAGGACCTGGCAAGGCAAGTGATCTGTTCAAGGCCACACAATGTATTCATGTACAGGCAGGAAAACCAGGCCAGTCCGCCCCATCAGGGCTGTTCTGGGAGAAATCCCAAGTAAAGGGTCAAATCTACTGCCCAGTACGTACAAGATCCCCATTCAACCCCAGACAGGGACAGGTCAGGGGGAAAGCAGACACCATGTATGTGCAGATACTTGGGATCTCTCAGTCCTGCTGTGGGGACATACAATCACCGCAGTAAATACACATATGCTGTCCTGCACACAGTCTTCCTTCCACCCCAACACCCTCCACCTCCTCTGCCTTGCTCACACCCCCTCATCTTTCACATCCTCACTCAGATGTCCCCCTCCTCCAGGGAGCCCTCCCTGACACCCCACCAACTGAATCACACATCTTCTAGGCTCCCACAGTTCCTCTGCCTGTGCCCCCATCCCAAACCTGACCACTCTACGCTGTCACTGGTCATAGGTCTGTCTTCTCCATTGATCTGGGGGCTCCAGGAGAGCAGATTCGAAGCTGTCTTTGTCAGTTGTATTTCCAACGCCCAGCACAGAACTGCCCAGTGAATATACATTGATGGGGGGGTCGTAGGATGCCCACACACACTGACACACATAGGATGGCACATGCCAAACCGAGACTCACGCCCACAATCATGCCCACACCCACAAGTCATGAAGGTTCAAGTGTGCACATGCCCCTCACACTGTGCTAAGGATGTCACACACACCACCTCATTCACACTGCCGAGTGATGACTATCACCATGCAGAGATACACACATTGCACTAAATTAGCAAACAATACACATCAGCTCAAATGGTGCCCAGTGCCCGGTGTACAACGTTCACTTATCAACTGACATTTTCTGGAGGAGGCATTTAATAAGTACACAAACACACACATAATGACATTCCCAGTGGTGATAAGTGCCATGAAGAAAAGATAAAGCAGGCTGAGAGGACTGAGTGACAGGATCAGTGCCAGTTTGGATGGGGAGGTCAGGGAAGACTGCCCCGAGGAGGTGACATCTGAGGCAAATGAAGTGAGGAAATGAGCCAAGAGTTCATTGCCAAAGCTACCCCCAGGATGCCACACACAACAGCCCCCTCCCCTGCCTCATACCCAAGTACACAGCAGTCACTCTCAGAGGACTAAAAATTACTACACATGCTCACAGACTCATACACTCAAAAGGAGAGTGACACCCTCCAAGTTCAGCAACTTGGTGTCCAACCCTTTTGCAGCCCCCACCCAACATCACCCATGTCACCCACCCCACTGGTTCTCCATATAAGGGCCCATGATCAATAGCCTTCATGCCTCCCTCCCTTAGACAACAAAGAAGGGGGAGAAGACACTGGAAGCTTTGGTGTGCGATTTGGAAGGGGAGGACAAGGAGGAGTTGGGGAAGGTGGACCCAACATGGGAGAGGGGGAGTTGCTAGAGTACAGAGTGAAAGGACAATAAAAACGGGAGCGGGGCAGGGAGGGCCAGCAGAGGTGACACAGCAGGACAAACCCAAATGTGCAGCCTGTCCTCCTGATCAGTGGCACAGGCACCAGCCCCCTTACCTGGAGCCCCCATGCTGGAGTGAACCATGCTGCCCGCCCCGCCAGGGCTGGGGGAACAACTGTGTCATCTCCCCGCCTCTCTGGGGGCTGATCCCTCCCTGCCGGAAGTCACCCAGGGAGGAAACCACAGGGCCGGTCCGCCTCCTTCAATTTTAGTGTATGTGTTGCCGAAGTGAGCAAGAGTCCGCCCCCTTCAGAAGCGAAAAATACCCAGGCCTGCAGACCCACGCCAGCAACCTGGCGAACCCCAGATCATGTGCGCATGATAGAGGGTGTGGGTTTGTGAGACAGCGGGAAAGCAGCCTGGAAGGTCCCACAGCTTCCACCCCAGGAGGTGCCTGCCATTCTGCCACACCCATAGGGGCGAAGGCAGCTGGAGCAGGGAGTGTAGATCTGGGAGAGAAGGTGAGCCTAGACCAGCAACAACAATAAAACACCAGCCAACAGCTTACTGGAGGGAGGGCTTTTCCAGTGGCCAGCCCTGCACCTCACACTTGACAGGTGTCAGCTCCACAGGTGGGCACTGTTACTCGCTCCATTTTACAGACAAAAAGATCGAGGACCAGAGGTGAGAGGTAGCTTTCTTAAGGGCCCTCCTTGGGAAGAGTTGAAGACAAAAAGCGTGGTGCGTTCGCAAGGACCAAGTTTGCACCTGTCTGCAGGTGAGGTGTCTGCGGCACCTAGGTGTCTAGGAGGAAGCGGTGCCCGTGGGAGGTGGTAGTGCAGGCGGTGGATCGGATCTTTGGTCTGTGGTGGCAAGAAGCCTATCAAGGATCAAATGCTGGAGGCCGGAGGAGGTTCTGGTGAAGGGGAGCCCGGGGTCCCTTCTTCGCGCTGCGGCGCTTCCAGTCCAGCGCTTCCCTCCGCGCCCGCCAGAGGGCGGCAGCGCCCAGCCAATAGGCCGGAGGGCGGGGCCGATTGCAGAGGATGGAACCCCTCCCTCCACCCCATCTCCAACTCCCGCGTCCCCGCCCCCGCGCGCACACCTGCGAGGGTCACACAAAGGCGCCGGACTCTCCGCGCACCGCAGCTCAGACAAAGGCGCGCCCGATCCCAGTGCACTCTTCTCTCGTCGTCCAGGGTCCGAGGCTGCGTGGCCGTCTGCTGGCCGGCCTTCAGGCCCCACGTTGGGAGACCCTAAGTCACAAGCACGCACACAGGCGCCTGGACTCACCCAGACATAACATACACTTAAGTATTTCTACACATGGACCCAGCACTTCACACACACACGTGTGCACACACGGATTCACAGGAATACATCTCTGGGTGCCCAGGCCCCAACACCAACTCTCACTAATAACAGGGCACTTCCTACACAGATGCCCCTCTGCTTCCTTACATGGACCCATGGAGATAAGGGCATATTCACACAAGCCCAGGCACACTTCCTAGCCATTCCTACCCACACTCACACTCATAGGCAAGTTGGAAAGGAGAGCAGCACACAGACCAACATGAGTGTCCTCCCCTGTCTGCACAAGGGACCTGTACAGCCAGACACGCCTAGGCAAGTGGGCGCTTCTCACATCCACACCCAAAGGGGACAGTTTCCAGGCATCTGCACTCCACAGCATCCCATACTGTAAAGGCCATTTCACAGAAGAGCTCCACAGACCATGCAGCAACTAGCCACAGGGTTTCCATGGGAGGGTCTTCCTGACAACAGTCTGGTGGCTGTGGGGTACTTGTCTTAAAGCTGTATTTGCCCAGTAAGCTCTGATTTCATTTAGGATTCATATTTTAGGGGTTTGGAAATGGACATAGGACATTGCGGGGAGTGGTGGTGGGGCAAAACCTATCAGCCATCCCTATGCTCCATCCTGGACATCAGTATCATCCAGGCCAGGAGTATGCTTTTAGACCTGACCCTGTGCCAGCCATTTAAGGTGAGCAAGAAGAGAAGGACGCCCACTCCCAGGGCTGCCAGGTCTGCAGCTGGTTCCAAGAGCCAGGGAAGGTCTGATATCCCTGAAGAATGAAATAACCCCACCCCTCCAGCCTCTGTGCTGGCTCCACTATTACTGCCTCAGACCAGAGCTGAGTCCCTGGGCCTGGGTGAGGGGATCTTGAAGGACGATGGGGCTTCCTGAGAGGATGAAGGGGCAGAGTATGGAACATACTGGTTGGATAGGAACTGGCAGCATGGAATGGGGAGGTCCAGGCAGGGGGAGATGCTGGCTTCATTGCCAGAGAAGAGGCCTCAAGCTATGCTGAGCAAGGCAGGTAGTCATGGGAGCTGCGGAGCAGTGGGGGACACTGAAGGTGCAGGGAGCCTGGGAGGGAGGTGGCACAGGGGAGGCCAGGCTGGGCTCAGGGCTGAGCGGTAATTAAAGGAGACGTAGGGGGCTCCCCAGGGCCAGCGGGGCTGGTAACTGACACGCGGGCCCCATTGCTCCGCTCATATTTCTCACCGGATCGATACGTTTGACTCCCGACAAGACAATAATCGCTTGTACGCGGCCGGTGAGTCGATCAAATACATTATTAGAGCGAGGTCCCCCGGGGGCCCGGCGGGGAGTGGGGGGGGAGCAGCCAGCCCACTGGGGACAGCAGAACCAGATTCTTCACCCCTCAGGGCCCCCCAGCCATAGCCTCTTCTTCTTGGCCACCCTGGGGACTTTTTCTGAGGCTCAGTTCCCTGGCCTCTCTCTGGACTCCTGCAGTCTTTGGCAGTCTCTCCACTTAGACTCCAGCTTCATCTTTGCTCTGCCTGGGGACCCCAAGAGTTCTACAGGTTTCCCCATAGGTGCTGCCCTCTTCTGTAGCATGTAGCATGTGTGAGCTCAGAGAGGCCCCTCAAACCCTTAGCTTGGCAGGAGATAGGGAGACCAACTTACGGGCCACACTGTGAGTCAATGGCTATGCCAGGAGATGAACTTGGGCCCAAGATTCATTGATACCAGCCTCTTATTGTCCAGCTTCCCTGCTATATCTAAGCATGTGGGCCCTCAGCAGAGCCCAAGCCAAGGGCAGCTTCTGCAGGACTGTGGAAAGCTGGCTTAGGGACCCAAACAGGCAAGAGAACAGTATGACAGGGGTGGCAAGCACATAAAGGGATGTGTGGCTGGTCTTGCTAAGGGGCCATGCAGTCCCCAATGGGCTTCCGATACCCTCAGCCCCAGTTCACCCTGGGCACCACCCGTCTCCTTCTTGCCCACATTCCTGGCTCCTGGGTTCAAGCCCATTTCCTGTTCACACACCTGCCTCTAAGGTCACGTTCTGCTTAGGAGCACCCTGAATCCAAGGACTTAACATATTTCTTCTCCTTCATCCTATCATAGCAGCAGCAGCAGCACTGCTGTTACTTCTGTATTACTTGAACCAATACATTTTTCTCAATCTTCATGATAGTCTGAGGAGGTAAGGTCTGCCATCATTCCCATTTTATGGACTTGGGCCTCAGAAAGGTGAACTCACTTGCCCCAAGTCACCCAGCATGTGACTGGGGGAGGAGGGCAGGATTCAAACCCAGGTCTGTCTTCCTCACCCCTTGTTCTCTCTACTCAGCAGTGGGCCTCCTTCTTGGAGCTTTGAAATGCTTTCCATCCTCCAGTGGGCAGCAGTAATAATCACTCTTTGCCCACTGGGGAACACTGGAGTCCCCGGGCAGCCCAGCTCCCATAGCTTAGAGTCTGGTTGTCCATAATCAGCGCTGCATTGGACGCCTTCCAATCCCATCAGTCCTGGCCAAACCCTCCCCATTTCTTTAAATTCAAACATTTTCTCATGTCCCTCAGTGCCAAGTTCTGTGCTAGGAGCTAAGAATTCAGAGACGATCTAGATCCAAAACCTGCTCTCCAGGAGCTCACAGTCTGAGGGAAGGCTGGAGCAAAGACATCATGACAGTCTGGGTCTCGGTCAGTAAGGATTCAAAAACACCATTTTGTGCCAAGCCATTGTTAAACTCAGAGACTACAGTAGTTAAAAACAAAACAAAGATGGTTTTCCCACTCCCAGTAGGAGTGGGAAACCTGCAGCCTTGGGGCCACACATGGCCTTCTGGACCCTTGAGTATGCCCAAATCCAAATTTTACAGAAGTTTAGATTCTGTTGAGGGTCTGCACTCAAGAATCTGTAAGCTTACATGTAGCCTTGAGGCCACAGGTTTTCCCTGCCCTGCATCTTTAGGGGAGAAACAATTTTAAAAAGCCATCAAGTAAATATGTTTTCTAAGTTGGGAAAAGTGCTTTCGAGAATAGGTAGAGGACGCGCTTGTTCACGCCTATAATCCTAGCACTCCGGGAGGCCAAGGCGGGTGGACTGCCTGAGCTCAGACGTTCGAGACCAGGCTGAGCAAGAGTGAGACCCATGTCTACTAAAAACAGCGCCTGTAGTCCTGGCTACTTGGGGGGCTAAGGCAAGAGTATCCCTTGAGCCCCAGCGTTTAAGGTTGCTGTGAGCTGTGACCCTGCGGCATTCTACTCAGGACATAGAGTAAGACTCTGCCTAAAAGTAAAAAACAATAGGTAGAGGAGGGTATTGATGTAAGATAGAGGGCAGAGAATGTGGGGAAAGGCACTCCAGGCAATGGGAATAGAAGATGTGACGGCCCCATGGCAGCAAGCCACATGGCAGTTCCAGGAGCAAAGAGGACAAGGAGGAGAATACAGGACATGGGGCAGCCAGGGCCAGGCCACACGGGCCTTGTGGGCCAAGGTAAGAATTTTGGACTCTACTCCAAGTATAGTGGGACACCACTGAGATGATGTCAAGCTGGAGAGCGACATAGTTCTGTGAACATTTTCATGATGATTCTGGCTGCTGGAGAAGCCGCAGTAAAGGACCAGCATGTAGGGGGTCAGCTGATGTGGTGTCCGTGTGAGAGGCGATGGTGGCAGTGGGCAGAGGAAGAATCAGGCACACCTGGGGGGGATTTTGGGGAGTCAACCAAGCAAAATTTGGGGACTGGCTGAATGTGGGGGTATGGGAACAGGGAGGAGTCAAGAACAAGGCCAATAGGTAGCAGTATCTTTCCTGCCAGAGGGAGATGGGGCAGAAGGAAGAGTTAAAGCTCAGGGAGGACAGGGCTGGA